GTTAGAAATTAATAACAGAAGTAAAACTGTAAAGCTAAAAAATTGTGGAAATCAAATAGGACACTTTTAAACAATCAATGGGTCACAGAAGATATCACAATGGAAATTTTAAAATACTTAGAGACCAAAGAAACTGACAATACAACATAACAAAACTTAAGGAATGCAGCAAAATCAGCACCAAAGAGGGAATTTATAGCTATAAATTATGCTTACATTAAAAAGCAAGGAGTATCTTAAATCAACAAACTAAGTATGCAATAACTTAGGGAACTAGAAAAATAAGAATAAACTAAACTATAAGCTAGCAGAAGAAAGGAAATGATTAAGATTAGAGCAGAGATTAAAAAATAGAGAATAGAAAAATAATACAGAAAATCAATAAAACCAAAGTTGGTTCTTTTGAAAAGATGAACAAAATTGACAAATCTTTGGCTACATGGACTAAGAAAAAGAAAATTCAAATTACTAAAATCAGAAATAAAAGTGGGGGCATTACTACTGATTCTACAGAAAAAAAGAATTATAAGAGAGGTACTATGAACAATTCTATGCCAACAAATTTAATATCCTAGATGAAATGGACAAATTCTGAGGAACACAATACCTACCAAGAATAAATCATGTAGACATAGAAAATCCGAATAAACCTACAAGTAGTAAGGATACTGAATCAATAATCAAAAATCTAACAAACAAAAGCCATTGACCTGATAGCTTCACTTGTAAATTCTACCAAACATTTAAAGAATAATACCAATCCTTCTCAAACATTTATAAAAAATTGAAGAGTAGGGAACATTTCCTTGCTCATTCTATGAGGCTAACATTACCCTAATGCCAAAGCCAGGAGAAAAACCCTACAAGAAAAGGAAACCACAGATCAATATCCCTTATGGACACTGATGCAAAAATCCTCAACAAAATACTAGGAAACAGAATTCAGCAGCATATTACAAAGTTATACACTATTACCAAGTGGGATTTATTTGTGGAATTTCAAGGCTATTTGACATCTGAAATTGATCAATACACCACATTAACAAAATGATAGAAAAAAATCACATGATCTTCTCAATTGATGCAAAAGAAAACATCTGACAAAATTCATCACCTTTTCATGATAAAAGCACTCAACATACTAGGAATAGAAGGAAACTACTTCAGTATACTAAAAGCCATATATGAAAAACCCACAGTGAACATCATATTCAATGGTGAAAGATTGATGATTTTTCTTCTAAGATCAGAAACAAAGCAAAGATGTCCTCTTTTACCACTTCTATTCAACACAATGCTGGAAGTTCTAGCCAGAGCAATTAGGCAAAAAAGAAATAAAAGGCATCCATATTAGAAAAGAATAGGTAAAATTATCTCTGTTTGCAGTTGATATGATCTTATACATAAGAACTCTAATGATTCCACACTTAAAGAAATACCTGGTACAACTAATAAATGAATGCTACAAAATAGAAAAAGGATACAAAGTGAACATACAAATACTGCTGCATTTCTATACACTAACAATTAATAATTTAAAAAAGAATTTAAATAAAAAATTTTTAAAAAAAAGAATTTAAGAAAACAATTCCACTTACAATAGCATGAAAAAATGAACTATTTAGGAATCAACTCAGTCAAGAAGGTTAAATACTTGTTCAATGAAGACTACAAAATAATGCTGAAAATATTAAAGAAGACATAAGTGGAAACATATCTCCTGCTCATGGATTGGAAGATTTACTACTGCTAAGATGTCAACAGTACCCAAAATAATATACAGATTCAATGCAGTCTTTTTCAAAATTCCAATGGTGTTATTTTAAGAAATAGAAAAATCTATCCTAAAAATCACATGGTATCTCAAGGGACCCCAGATAACTAAAACAATCTTGAAAAAGAACAAAGCCAGAGGACTCACAATTCCTGATTTCAAAACTTACTATAAAGTGATAGTAATTAAAATAGTGCAGTACTGGCATAAAGACAGACATATAGACCAATGGAAAGAATAGAGAGTCCAGAATTAAATTCTCACATACAGGCCAAATGATTTTTGGCAAGGGTGCTAAGGCCATTCAATGGTGAAAGGACTGTCTTTTCAAGAAATGATGCTGGGGAAATTGGATATCCACATGCAAAAGAATGAATTTGGACCCCTACCTAACACTAAATATAATGATTAATTCAAAATAGATCAAAAACCTAAATGTAAGAGCTAAAGATATAAAATTCTTACGAGAAAACAGGGTAAAAGCTTCACAACATTGGAGTTGGCAGTGATTTCTTGGATATGACAGCAAAGGCACAGACTACCAAAGAAAACACACACACACACACGCACACACACAGTTTGCACCTCATGAAAAATTTTTAAAGTGCTTCAAAAGTAAATATCAACATAATAAAAGACAATGAACAGAATGAGAGAAAATATTTGCAAATCACATACCTGATAAGAGAATAATATAGAGAATATGTAGAGATCTCCTAGTACTCAACAACAACAAATAATCAAATAACTTGGTTCAAAGCTAGGCAATAGACTTACACATTTCTCCAAAAAAGATTTTAAAATAGCCAAAAAGTACATGAAAAGATGCTCAGCATCAGTAATTATTAAGGAACCGCAAATCAAGACTACAATGAGATACCACCTTGCACTTGTTAGGATAGCAGGTACCAAAAACCCCCCAGAATATTACAAATGTTGACAAGGACGTGGAGAAATTGGAACCCTTGTGCACTATTGATCAGAATGTGAACCATACTGATGCTATGGGAAACATACAGCCGTTCCTCAAAAAATTAAAAATGGAATTACCATATAAGAAAGCAATTCGGCTTCTGGGTACATACTCCTAATAATTGAGAGCAGGGTCTCAAATGGATATTTGTAGATCCATGTTCATAGAAGCATTATTCACTAAAATTAAAATGTGGAAGTAACCCAAGTGTCCACTGTTGGATGAAAGGATAAGTAAAATATGGTATAAATATACAATGGAATATTATACAGTGTTAGAAAGAAAGGAAATTATGATATATGCTGCAACATGGATGAACCTTGAAGATACTATGCTAAGTGAAAGAAGCCAGTCACAAAACACAGATACTGTATCATTCCACTATATAGGTACTTAAGAATAGTCAAAGTCATAAATACAGAAAGTAGAAGGTGGTTGTTAGGGGCAAGGGAAGAGGGGTATGGGAAGTTATTGTTTAATGGGTAAGAATTTCAGTTTTACAAGATGAAAAGGGTACATGGCAGAGATTGTTGTGAGTGTATTTAATGCCACAAACCTGTACACTTAAAATAATTAAGATGCTAAATTTTATGTTATGTTTATTTTACCACAATAAAAATGAAAAAAGGAAATTTATTTTAAGTAATTTATGACTATTCAAAAGACAGACATCCATAAAAATTAATTATTATCTTTAGTAATTTTACATAAAGATGTAGTTTATTACTTTTTTCTGGAAATTTTTTGTCTTTAACATAAAGAAGCACAATGTCAGAATTCTAGAAATCAAGGAGATAGAATTTCTGTTACAAGCATTTTCTCTGAGTCATGGGTTACTTTCTGGAACTTTCCAGAACTGCCATACAAGTGTTCCAGTCCCGAGTTCTTCCAACTATTATATCTGTAGCTTTGTACAATGTATTTGCTTTTTAAGCCCTTGTTTCCATATTTTTATGTATAGGGAGGCCACTACTACATGTGATAACTTTAAATGGTAATTGTGAAGATTAAATATTGTGATAATGTTTCACGTAACTGTTAATCTTGTATGTAAGTACAAGGAATTCTTAACACTGTGTGATTTTTTCCTTCTATATCTGGGGTATGTTAAAGGTCAGAGCTTATTTTAGATGAATTTTGAACATCACCACCCAAATGTTACTCATGACTCTCCATCTTAATTTGCTACAATCTGATATCACCCTGCACCTCCTGCTCCCTTCTCCTTCTTTTCTATTTCCCAATTTGGTTAGTGGCACCACCATCATCCATATTGGAAAGCTGGAAGTTACAGTAAATTTTCTCTACATCAAGTAATCCAGTAATTCCAGCCATTTTTGTCATAATAGCTCTCAAATGTGTCCTCTTCTCCATTCTTACTACTTACTGCCTTACTTCAAGGCCTTTTGAATTAGAGTCTGGACTACCACAGCTGTATCCTAACAGGTGTCCTTCTGTTCTCCCTCCCCTATGTCATCTTCCACACCACCATAAGAGTTATTTCTCTAAAGTGCAATCAGATCACATTGCCACCATGCTCAGAATCCTTTAAGTGTTACCCAGAACCTCCAAGATGAAGTCTAAATTTCCTACTGTGGCAGATAAAGTTCCTACTTATTTTTCCAATCATCTCATTTCCCATCAGCCTTCAGTCACACCAGTGACTATATGCATGACAAACTATGGGTAGTTCCCCAAATGTGCTATGATCTTTCTCAGCTGACCTTATGAATGGAAACTTGGCAATGGAAGAATTGACATTGTCTATAGAAATCTGAGGCTTCATGGGTGAGATAGGTCTTGAATTGAGGGAAGTTACCAAAAAGAATATTGTGCCTATATAAACAAGAAAGACAATGTAAGGAAGACGTGAGAAGACTCATCTAGATGGAGCAGAGGGTTGGATTTAAGTTAAAAAAATAAGGAACACAGGAAGAGTGGTGATAAATTATGGAGGTCTTTTAAAAACTTTTGGTAGGTCAGCAGAACTCAAATGCTTATGTGTCCTGTAGTCTTCAAAATGTATTTGATACTCGTCAGTCACAAAGAGGTGCTTGTTTTTTATTAAGTACATCTGGCAACCTAGCCTATGTTTCTTACTCCAAAGGAAACAAATGCAGTTTTCTTTTAGTTCTTTTACTATATTTTCAGTCCTTTAGTCATGAGCTATTAACACTTTATACCATTTGTTGAATTGCTTCCTGGCAGCTCCAGGGAAAGCTTCATTATATCCAATTAATCCATCTCTAAAACTTCTTGGTAAAGGACATATGTTACCAGTTTTCTTAGGTTAGCAAGGTTGAATGGGATAAATAGCAAGTTAAGCAAACACTGCACAATATTGATGAGTCTCAACTATTTTAATTTTGTTTACCAAACTCAGATAACAATAAAAAACATTAACAATAAAATAGTGATTTATTATGGGTGGTATTAATTCTAGAGTGGCCATCACGATATTAGACACATCTGTCATAAGATTTGTCAAAAGTTAAGACCATCTTCTTCTGGAGACAGAAACACAAAAGATGGCTAGAATATCCGTGTGAAAATTGTACCTGCACTTTTGAGCCATTAACAATATAAACTATTTTTATATGGTTGCTAGAAAGGACCTTTTTCTAATTCCAGAGTTTGCCAGAAGCAAAGCAGGTGAATGGGGCAATTGTCACAAGGTATTTTGAAGCAATATTGTTGGCCCTAATGGATAATAAAGGCATGGTACTGTAATGGAGAGGGGATGTGAGAATGAACATGTAATAAACACTGCTAATGGGACTCTGCGATTTTTTGAAGTTATTTGCTCATATCCTCAAAACCTTCTTGGCTGTGCCTTTGTCTTTTCCATTCTGAAGGTATTCTTTTCATTAATCAAGAATCAAGGTTTTGTCTGCTACCTGTTTGGAAGTTGACCTGCGAGAATAGGATAAAAACAAACAAACAAACACACACACACAAAACTTGGGAGTTATAAGTGGTAATGAAAGGAAATATATTTTTATCCTTAGACTACTTTAAATAGATAATATCATGACCCTTGGAAGCTTCAAACCCATGCCCAAGAAACTACTATGATGATCTTACAATCACAGATATAATACTGTCTATTAAAATACTAAGAAGGAACCACAGCAATGCTCATTTGTAACCTAAGTGTCTGCTAATATTAGATTAACACAATGTATACTATACTTGATACCTTTAACTACATCTTATTTTCAGTATATAAAATTACTCAATTTTTAATTATAAGCTCTGTTTCTTTTTCACTTGGTAGCTATGTGATTGGTTCACTACATAATGTCTCAGTTTCCTCATCTATAAAATGGTGAAAATTATGTATCTTTATAGGGTTGTTGAGAGGATTAAATAAGTTAACACATAAAACTTGTGAATGCATTTCAGATAGTTAGTGCTGCTAAGTGTTGGTTATTAAATGGCTTCATGAAGATTTACCTTAAATTTAATGTATTTTCCAATTTCAACATTGATGTCTCTCCAATCTTTTGATATGTCACATTATATTCTATTTATAAACTATACTCAAGAGTAGTATGAAACCTTGAAAATAATCACATTGAGAATTGATTTTCTCTGAACTTTTGCTTAAACTTCTCACAATTAACAAATCTTAGTCATTTTTTTCATATTCAGAACCTTTTCAACAATCTAGAAATGGTATTTTCAGGACCTAAAGCAAAACTTTGTTGGCCTCATTATCTATTACTATGTAGTAAGGCTAAATGAACTGTGCTTCTTGGCTGTGACCAGTTCCATTGGTGGTATAGTATTTATAAGATGAAATAAAATATTGCTGGTGCTGGTTTCTTCTTTGTTTCCACTTCACTCACCCTTGACTAGCCATATTTTTATTCAGGAGGTACCAAGATAGCAAGTGTGAACAAATATAGATTGTTCCCAACTTATAAAAAAGCTGCATTCCAGAAATTCATTTATCATTATATTGTTTGAATAAAAATGTAAAAATTCAGGTGACTGTGGTCCCCAAAGTAACACAAAGGCAGAGGGAGTTATCTGTGGGGGGCAGGGTGTGTGTGTATGTTTGTATAGGATCTCTACGAGAGGGTAAAAAGGAAGTGGTAGGGGATATATTTGGAGGTCAAGTTTCCAGAGTTGGCAACCAGGTAGTACAGTTGGCTCAGAACAACTTGATAACTTGGTTACTTTCTGAATGGAGCAAGAAGACTAGGGAGACAGCGTGACCTCAGAATGGGAAAGACAGAAGCTAGTAGTTAATAAATGAGAATCTGTTACCACAGGGTGCTTATATTTTTGGTATTTGCAACTAGAAAAGTCTGCAGTTGTGTGTGTGAAATGCATGTGTGCATGATGTTGTGTGTGACAGAGAGGGGGAGAGAGAGAGAGAGAGAAGAGATGAGCTAAGGGCATGTCAGGAAGTACAAAGAAAAATATTTATTTTACAAATGAACTTAGACTAGCCAGAACATGTTGGGAATCAGTGATGTGATAAAAAGGTAAAGATTACTGCTATTATGTTTATTATTCCACAATATCTTTCTTTCTCTATAAGGAATTATTTCCTTTGCTTTCACCTCTAAAATATTCCTTTTTTACTACTACCTTTTATCTCCACTCTTCATTTTATTGAGGGACTCTACTACACTGGGTCAACAGTCTTTATTCCAAAAACATTCCACTTAATAAATCCAAGTATCTTTAGAAGAGAATTGGTTGACATAACTCATGACAGGCAAAAACTGAAAATTTATACTTTGCTTATTTAATCATTTCATATTTATTGTCTTTGACACCCAATGCATACAAACTCAAAGACTTAAAAACTTTGGAAAATGTAGTCCATTACTTGTCCCTCTAAGTAGAACATGATATGGCAGATTACAAAGATCCTGCAGCTGTCAAATGCACCATATCCATACTTGTATCATTGTAGCAAACATTTCTGGAATTTAAAATTCTACTTAAGTCTTTTTAAGAATAAAGTGCCTCTTTAGTCAATTACTTAAGATTTATGATGTTGAGTGACAGATTGTCTTAAAGTTCTCCTAATTTAGTCTCGACCAATATTTAGACTAAACTTTATTTGGTCTGGTTTTCTCTATCTGCCTAGATAATGATGCATCGTTGATCCTGTTGCTACATTTGAGGAGGGTGGGCCAAAGAACTTTGAGTCATTAGGGAAAATATATGATTCTGAAATTCCTACAGAAAGAAGGTGATTGGCAAATATTTTCTGCAATGGGGGCAGTAAAAGTGCTCTTTACTTGAGCTTGAGGCAGCTAGTTCTCCTTTGGATCACTCACTGGAGTCATTGTAGGCTTATGGTGGGCTCAGAAAACTACACATGTAGACAAAGGGAGGAGGCTAGATTCAACTTGACACATTTATCTTTAGCACATTAACAACTGTTTTCTCCCAAATTATTCAGAGAACAATGGGCAGGTCACAGTGTTAGCAGGAAGATCATTTTGATTTGCTCAATATTAGTTAGTTACATTCAATTTGAGAACTTTTACTAATTCATCCCAAAAGGAGATTCCAACTCAGTTCACCTCTCAAGTGAACACTTTCAGGATCCTATCCTATCTAATAAGGAATCCAGCAATAAGAAGCACTTTAGTATTTTAAAGAAATATGATCAAATTGATATATAAAGGAGTGACTTTATGAAAAGGTTTGATGCACAGATGGCCTCATTAAAGTACCTTAACAATTAACAAACCTTGAGAAAGTTGCCAGTATCTTTGAATAGGAGATGATTTTGTTGTATCTTAGACTGAAAACCCCCAGAAAATATGTCTTCCACTGTAACACAGCACATCGCTAAAAAGCTAGGAACTGAAAAACTGTTTATCCAATGTAAATATATTTAATTAAGAGGCTATTAGTCAAGATATTGCTTTGATTATTTGGAGTATGTGGATACTATATTCACCTGCCTAAAAGATGGGCTTAACTAAGATTTATTTAAATGAATATTAAGCAGAAGAATTAAACTTATTCATGTATGTTCATGGCTACATGAATGGGAAGGAAATTATATCCTAGGTGGATCATTTTGAATTGAAATTATGAAAACTTTTGGCCACTTCAACTAATTTTCCTTTTGAAGACATTATACTGCAAATTTAGTCTCTCCTGAATTAAGGCTTCCTCAAATATTCAAGATACTTATAAACAAAAGCATTTTTGTTGGTTAATTTTTGAAGCAATTACTAGAGGTACTAATTTAAGAGAACTTTGGTGCAAAAACCATAACACATTTGATTGGTATGTTCAGTCATCTATTCCTAGGAAGGCTTATATAACTTCATATTGACAAAACTCTCATTATAATGACAGCACTATATGAAAATTTTTCTTCAAGACCACTATTAAATCATCTTTGTTCTTAAAAAAATCTACTGTAAATTAGAAATGCTACTTCTTTGAATAATCCTAATGCAATTTTTCTCAAGTACACTGGAATCTGTCAAGGACTTAACCTAAATAAATCCTTGAGCAAATTTTACTGATAAATAAAAGCCATTTTCACAGTTTAACTTTAAGAATTGTACACTATTAATTTTATCTCTTTTATGTGGAATCAAATTATTTCTATAGAATTGTAAATAACCTCTAGATAACTTGTTAAATGACACTAGGATCTTAGTAACATAGTTCTAACACCACTATTCATGGAATTCAGTGTTAACCTTTACAAAATGAAAGATGATTTCAGGAGTTATGACCTTGTTTAGTTATTTCTGAAAAGTGCAACCCAGCATAATAACCACCCCCATACACACATATTTCTAACTACTTTAATACAGTAGTGACATGGTGTGATCTGAAATGTTTCTAACATCCAAATTTTTTCTAACCATTGTGGTAACTCAGTGATATGCTATTTTGTCTTCTTACAGCTTCTACCTTCAAATATCCACTTGCTTTCCTCTTTAGAAAAATAGGCATCAAGAACTTTAAAGGGCACTATTTTTCACTTATTATGTATATTTTTAAAGCCTTCTGCACTATTTAATTATTAAAACCCTAATGAGAGAATGAATGAAGATGGTACAAATGGCATGACTATATGTTCTGATGTTGAGTTGTTTGGTGCACTTATTGTTGGTAATAAAGTTTTATTCTTTTTAAAGTGAGCTTCTCTTACTTCTTAAATTGTTTGAATGAGGAAAACACCTCTGTTATCTCTATTATATTTGTTTTTGATGGAAATATGAACAAGGATGTAATAAATAAGGAAAATTTGGAAATGCCATAGCTCTAAGGGAAGACAATCATCTATTCTTGCAGAAAAATACTTTGTTAGTGAAGGCATGCAAAACACATAGTTTCTCAAGCTATTAATGAATATACTGTGAAGTCTGTCCATCTCTAATAAAAATAAAGTAGTCACATGTTTCCATTATCTAGTTATCATCAAAAGGTTGGAATGTATGTACCCCAAGCCTAGTATTTATATAACTAGATATACTATTAAGAGTTACTTTTTATTATTGTGTTTTTGGGGAATTAAATGCCTCCATTTGAAAAATTTGACTTTTTGGGGGGAAGTACCCTACTTTGTAGATAGTTTTTACTTAAAACCAACATAATATGTTTTACATACCCCAGCTTAAGAAACATAGCTTATAGTTACTATAATTTGAACTGCAAAATGGTAGCTAAATTCCTTAACTAGTAAGCTAAAACTTATTATAATTGTATTTTCATTTAGCTAGAAACACCAAAGCCATGAAATAAAATATATTTTAAATGCTTTCATACTTCTGCAAAAGTTTATTTGTGAAAAACAACTGGGGAAAACATCTCTTTTCTCTAATGTTAAGTCTTGTATATGAGCAATATTACTTTTATTATTTATAACTGGCCAACGTTCCCTTATGTTTACATAAAGAGAAGCTATAAAACCATACTAGGCAATTACAATTCTTTCCTGGGAGGTGTGGTCTCTTGGGAAAATCAGAAAATTGTTGTCTATTAAAGTAAAAGTGTTAAGGGGATATTAATTTTGTACTTTCATTTTGGTTTATAAGAATTTATGCCTTATTTTAAATACGCAATTACATTCTCTTATACATTCTAGTAGAAAGCAATTATTTCAAGTTGCACATTTATGCAGACAGACTACAATCCAAATTAAGTATATTTGTTTGCCATGTCTAATGAAGGCTAAAATTCAATGCACATCAAGTTAATTATGTCTCAATGACAATGTGTTGGTAAAGTTTCATCAAAAAGAATATTACTTGCTGCTGTTAAAAATAGTTAATCAAACAGCAATCTATGTGTATGCAATTCAGAGTGCTAGAAGAAACATTTGGTAAAGACTCATTAAAATATAATTTTACTTATTTTCAGGGAAAATAAGATAAAGCAAATTTTTAAGTCAAAAGTAGCAAAGGTTTGGGGTTCTTTGCTCCCTAATATCATGTCACTAATTTAAATTTTATTTATTTAAATGAAAGATTAGAATATCGTGGTTACTTCTACAACCTTCTTCATAATATGGGATTTTTGAGAGACAGTTGTTTTAAAATGTCTTGATCCATGGTATTTAAGGTTATGTTTATGTTAACTTTATTCTCTCTCTGAAAAGAGGAAAAGAACCAATACTAAGCCATGTACAGGTGAGAAGAAGTAGGTAAAACATTACTAGGTTATCTGTAATTAGGTTTACATTAATGAGTTATGTAACCCTTGATAGAGTAGTAGATGAGCCAGTAAGAGAGGAATCAAGGCCATTTTGTATAGCAGATGGATCTTTCAAATGGAAAGGCATGTTGCTGGCCACAGGAGTCAGAAGTAATACTGTTCATCTTGTCTCCTCTCTTCTATGACTTGCATATCCAGGTAAATAAAAAATGAAAATTTTAATCCTGCTCAATAACTTAAAACTCCGAATGATAGGAAATGCAGAAAAATTTAACATCTACATTTATATAAACTTACCTTAAAAAATTGATTCACAGCACCTGATGATATGGCAAACTTCACAACATCTGGCGGTTCAGCTTCTACTATAATATCAAAACTAGGGAGTGGAATATTTGAATTGGAGTGAAAGTTTAAATTGGCAGGATCCTTGATACCAATGGGATACTGGAACTCAGAGAAATCATCTAAAAAGCCAGATTCCTTGGCATCAGGGACATCCTTAGACTCAGTGGCATCCTTAAAGCTAGCAGAGTCCATGGCACCAGCAGAATCTTTGAGGCAGGCACCAAATTTGTGATCGTCAAAAATTGTATAATTTCTATCAAGCTTAGATGGATTAGAAAATTTAGAGGTGGTCAACTTTTCAGGAGTGGAAATATAGTTAGTGCCAACAGCAAAAATTGGGGAGTTACCATAAAAAACATTAGGAATAGAAGAATTGGAATTGATTTCCAATTCAGGCTCAGAAAGATTATTACCATTGCTGGTCCTAATAGAATTATGAACATTATGAGTATTTGTGGCATCATAATTGGAGTTGATGACAAAGTTGGAACCAATGACATGAGTAAATCTAGGGTCATGGTTAGTGTCTGAGGCACAGTTGGTGCCAGCAGTATAGGCAGGGCTAATAGCACCAGTACAACTAGTGGTATTGCTGGTGTCAGTGACATTGACAGTACTGACTGTAGAGCTGAGACAGTCAGCATAACTATCTCTGTCGATACAGTTGGGGTTGACTACAAAGTTAGAACCTACTCCATGGGTAAATCCTGGGCCATAGTCAAGGTTTGAGTCACTGTTTGGGTTAGCTGCATAGTTATGGCCAGCAGCACTGATGGGTTTTGTTTCATAGATGGAGTTACCATCTTTGGTAGGACTGATAGCAATATTGTGACTAGTAGCATTATTAGGCCTGGCATTATAGTTAGAGTCTGAGTCTTTTTGAAGATCAGGGCTAGTATTGATGAGGCCAGGGATATTGTCACTGGGGCCAGGGCTATTGTTGTTTGTGTCAGGGCTACTGCTAGGGCCAAGGTCATGGAAGCTGGGACTAGAGCCATTGTTGCTGGGTCCTGGGCTGTTTGGATCTGGTCTGATATTTTGGGGTCCAGGACCATTTTTTTTGGAGGCCAGATCCATTGATGTTAGGGCCAGGTCCATTCTTGGGGCCAGTGTCATTGCTTGAACCAGTGCTGAGGTCAGCACCATTGCTGGATCCAGAAGTGTAGTCCAGGTCAGTTCCATTTTGGAACTCAGAAGTGTAGTTGGGATTACTGTCATTGTTGGAGTCAGCAGTACAGTCCTGATCAACACTGTTGTCTAGGCCAGAGGCATTGTCTAAACTATTGATGTGTTTGTCCTCCTCAGAATCAGTGCTATATTTGGAGTTAGCATCATTATTAGTGGCATTATCAATATTAGAGTCAGGTTCATTGTTGGAGTCAGTTCCATTGTTAGAGTCACCATCACTGTTAGAATCAGCTCCACTTGTAGGGTCAGCATCACCACTGGGATCAGACCCATTGTTTGTGTCTGCATCCTTTTCAGCATTGCTATCTTTGGGATCAGTGTTATCAGGGTCAGACTTATCTTCGGGATCTTTCTTATCTTTAGTGTTGTCTTCATCTTCAGGGTCTGTTTCATCTTCTGGATCTTTCTCATCTTCAGAGTCTGTCTCATCTTCATGGTCTGTCTCAACTTTGAGAAGAAGCTTGTCTTTGGCATTGGCCTTATCTTTGAGATCGTCAGCACCAACCAGTTCAGTCTCATTGTCAGGCTTGGCCTCATTTTCAAGTTTGGCAGTAAAATTAAACTTGTCCTCACTTTCAAGAGCAGCAACATTGCTGGTGCTGATGACATTGTCTGGGCCAAGGATATTATGGTGGCCTATATTATTCTGAGGATTCCTGGGAAAGTTACGGGTAACAGTAGAGCCTATGAGATTTCGGAGAGCTGAGCAACTTTCACAGTGTAAGTAAGAAGTTGAACCCAAGGAATGTTTAGAATCCTCCTGGTGTAGAGGGCAGCAGATGCCCACAGGATGCTTAGGATCCAAAGATTGAGATAAAGGGCTATTCTGAAAAGTCTTGTGGTGTCTAATAGATTTGAGGCTCAGAGAATATTTAGAATCCAAGGGAGTCTGGAGATGTAAAGGACAGTCAGGGTTTGAATCATTACCAGAATTCACAAGACACTTATGGAAAGGTGAATTATTGATTTCTACAAAACATTTGGAACATACTGGAGCTCCAGTGTCCAAAGTATACGTGTTACTTCTATGGGTCTTGGGGTGTACAGCAGACCAAGGGCTCATGGAGGTGGGGTGGCAGACAGGTGCTGAAACTTCAGAAGTGTAATCCTCAGCACTCAGTAGATGAATAGGATTAATTTGAGACCTGGAACTCTGAAAACTCTGTTGGTATCTATAGTCTGTATAACAACACTTACAGACAGAAACTTTGCGTCGGGCATTTCTGTGATGCTTGTTATCCATGAAAGTGTTTGGGTCTGGAAAAAGGTTACGGCTATGCTTTTCCTTTACTTTTTGCTGTGAGTATTGCTTGCCACTGAGAGTTGGAGATACTTCTTTGAATCTCACAATCTTGTCATCATTCAGGTATCTCACAAGTTGAATTCTGGAACCTGCTAGAGAGAGAAGAGTAAATAGGATTAAGAATAATAAAAAAGTTTGAATTTGATAGACACAATGCAAATTGTACACACAAATCTGTGCAAAAGAAAAGATGCCACTTCCTTCAATAAGTTATTATTATGAGATATTTCAAAAGGAAGCCATGATCCTAAATTTTCTGCTCAAATAGGTGTCATCTTGAGCTTACTAAGACATAAAAATGCAACATAGCTATTTATTGCAGATTTTTATACTCTTCAGACTTAGAGAGCTTAATCTTTAGATGATAACTCTTTAAATAAAAATTCATTTGGATCATGTGGCCAAAATAAAACTTGTTTTACACAGATTGGTTACTACAGATCTGTATTATTTTTTTCATTTTGCTTTTAGAAATACTAGCAATTTATTCTTCCCTGGAATATAATCCCTGTAATTTATACAATCTCCTTGTTTGGGGACAAATATTTCCTTGGGATAGATATGTCAAAATTGCAAAATATTCTGATATTAAATGTATTATTAAGGATCAGATTTTTGTAACTATCAAGAACTCTCTGGCACGTGATTCTGGAAATTTAGACATTTACCAATATCTTAGCTTTAAAATTGAACTAAAAGTTCAGTAAATGTCATTATGGAATAAACATGTTTTCCAGGTAAATAGGCAGAAATAAAATAAAAATCAACTTGACAATTTTAAAAACAGAAGACCTCTTTCCATCATTCCCTCGGGTCCCAAGAATATTTTCCTTGTGTTTTATCATCAAACACAGCATCATACTTGAGAAAGAGTCTGAGAATGCTTGGAAATTGATAGTGATTTTTTACAGAGAAGGAGATATGTCTTCTCATCCAATTTTTCTTAAGATCATCTAGATTCCTTAAGATAAATTTTTAATTGCACAACTATAATCTTTAGACATTTACAAAAGAGACAACTTTAAGTAGGCCCATTCTGAAAAATATTCAGTGGGTGTGGTATATATGACTTGGCCCACTATGAAACATTTAAAATGTATAGCCCTCATAGATTTATTTTTAAGAAAAGGAGCTCATATTCTTATAAATACATGATGCCATTATGTTGCCCCTAATACCATTCAATGGTGCTCACATAATGTAAAATACATGTGCACTTAGTAGTCTCTATTTCTATGCTTTATAGTAAATACTAGAAGTACAACTATAAATTTTCTATCCCAAGCCAAGTGCCAACAAATCTTGAAGGAAGGTGGTAACTAGTAACTTTAGTGGCTATGGTCTTCAATAGCATGTATTATATATTTTATTCATATAGTTCTATTATTGTAAGTTAGTCACAAAGGCTCATAGCATGAAAAAAAAACAAGAAAGTGATGTAATTTGGTTATTTCATATTCAAGATAATAGCAGAATATACTAAAACAGTTATAAACAATCTGGCTGGAAAGCAAATTGGAAGTATATGGGTATTGAAGGTGTACAGGGTTCTTAAACTCAATTAAAAATACTGTTAGAAAAAGGGCACATCAAGTATAAGACTTTGTATCACTAAATTGGGTAATATGAATAAGAATGAGATGCAACATTAAGAGTGAGATAAAAATGAGATAGCAGCACTCAGGCTCCTCCACAGAGAGATCTTAAATTATAACCAAGAATACATATCTCATTTAATAATCCTAAAGATGTGTCTCTGATTTCCAAAAGCAAATGAATGTATTCATATGCAAAAGATAAAACAGAACATCTATAATGACCAATATATCTCCACATGATGATCTGTACCTGCAGAGTTTGGTGTGGCTGCAGTACAGAATGTATAGGGTACAAAGAATAGATCTCTATCAGAGATAATCTAAAGCCTTTACTCTTTTTATTACTTTTAGAGGAGAAGATAAAAATGAAAAAATGACAACAAAGTACAATCTTAATGACATTATCAGAACAAAATAGCTGTTTCTACATGATTTAGAGAACTCAATACTCTGTGTTAGAAAGAGCATTGGTTTTGAGTCAAACAGCCTGTGTTTGAGAATCTGGTTCTGCCATGCATTGGTGATATGATTTGGGCAAGTTACATGTTTACAAGCCATAGTTTCTTCAACTTTAAAACAATTATAATAATATCTAACATTTAAAGTTGTTGTGAGAGCTAAATGAGATACACAATAAGTGTATGGCATTCCTACCCACCCCTCCAAGATAGGACTGAGACTGTCTTGGGATAATATCATTGGGATTGTTGGGCTAGTTGTGAATCTTATATTCTTAGTGACTAGGAATTTTCTAATTTTCTGAAAGTGAAGAAGGACATAATTGTTCAATTGTAAGGAGAAAATTTATATGCTATGATATATATACTTACAATACTATGATAAAAAATCTGAGGGATGCAGCAAAAGCAGTTCCAAGAGAAATGTTTATAATATAAGCCTACCTCAGGAAACTAGAAAAATCTCAAGTAAACACTCTATACCTAAAGGAACTAGAAATAGAAGAAGAAACAAAACCCAAAGTAAGTAGAAGGAAAGAAATAACAAAAAACAGAACATAAATAAATAAAATGGAGGGTAAAATAACAATAGGAGAG